GTGTGGGCTGCATAGGGGGGCTGCAGACGGGACAGGAGCACATGATGGGGCTGCAGCTGGGTGGGGAGGTGAGCAGGGGGAACTGGTCCCAGGTGGGACAAGCAGCATAAGCCTTGTCTCATTGGGGCACAGATCCAGCGGTTCACACCAGCAGGAGGGCTACCAGGCTCTGTTGCACTCCTCCCAGGGGTGCAAGCCCCTGCATCTGTGCCACATAAGAGGAGGCTCAGGTTGTGGCAGCAGCAATCTTCTCCGGTGCTGGGCACAACCCATGCCCAGCACCAGTCCCAGGTGGGACAAGAAGCCTGAGCATCCTCTCTTTGGGGCACAGATCTGGGGGCTTGCATCCCAAGGAGGGCTGCTGAGCTGTGCCAGACTCCTCTCAGGGTGTGAGCCCCCAGATCTGCGCCAGATGACAGGAGGCTCAAGCTGTTGCCTGGGACCAACCCTGGGCACAGCCCACACCCATTGCCAGGGAAAATTGTTGTTGTTGCCAGTCCCAGGTGGCAGCAGCAGCCTCCTGTCATCTGGTGTGCAGATCCAGGTGCTCTCACCCTGGGAGGAGTCTGACACAGGCAGAAGTTTCCCGGAAATCTCTGCACTTGTCTCCTTGAATCTTGGCAGGCTTCATACCCCCAGAAGGGGCTACCATCCCTGCAATTTTCATCCAATTCAGGCTAGAAATGACAAAGTTTTTGGCATTTTCATGATTTTTCATTATAGCCTATGGGCTAAACATTGAAACTCGTCGAAACACAGAAACAGTTTTGATGAAACGAAATGGGACAGTGCTTCAAAATGAAACAATGAAACAAAACACTGTCCCTTCAAAATGGTGAAACAGATGTCAACACAAAATGATGGTGTTTTGCACAGCCCTACTTTCAACCATTTTAGACACAGGAGGTTTAGACATGGGGAAACCACCTGGGTGGAAGGAAGCAGGCTGGTAGCAATATAGATAATAATGACATTATTAAGGGCTCTAATTCTAACACTAACATGATGATGCATGCGGAATGAATAAAAGTTCTTAAATAATATCTATAAATAAAAGGGAAATTGACATTATGTATAAGGTTGAGATGCTATGAGAACTTGTTTAAAGATTTAAAGACTAAACACTCGCAACATTTTGTATCATAATTAAAGCTATTCTTTAAGCTGTAGTGGGAAAAAACACAAAAAAGGGCACCGGAGAAGCATGTTTAAGATGTAACTTTTTAGGCACCTCAGGTTTCCTAATGGAAACTACTCATTATCATTAACTCTAGTGGAAATATCAAGCATCACCATAACTACTACTGCACACTGTAATTTGCCCATAAGTCCAGGAAGAAATTACTCAAACTTTTAAACAACTGCTGCAAGGAAAACCAGCTGAATTTTCTGGATCAAAATCAACTTAATGCCCCAGAAAGCAGGGTGTTCTGATTTATATATGAACTATCAATTTAGCAAGGTTGACATAGAAAGATGTTTTGAAGCTGAAAACAGCATGAAAAGACTTTATTCTTGACTCATTTTGTGTTTAATTTACTGACATAAATTTGTGAGAATCTAAACTTTTGATAGATTGCTATGAGCTTACAGATTTAAAACTCAGCAGGATGTGAGAGAATTCAGAGGTGTCACATTATCAATTCAAAGCTCTCATCAGCATGGTAATAAGTTAATATAGTATAGTGACACCATTTTATATAGCGAATTGCTGCATGTCAAAAAATCACTGCATTATGGGAGAATATTTTTCATTCTGATTTATGCTTCAAATGTGAGGAAAGTATTCCAGATTGCATTTTACAATAAGTGAAGAACTATGTTTACATTAAAAGGTGTCTTATTGACTGTGCACAATTGTGCTTGGGTCCTGACCTCAAAGGCCTTATACTAGAAATAGATAAATAGACACACAAAAACACATATATGTATGTATAAATATATATACATATTAGTGTGTGTATAATTGGTTATATATGTCACAAACATCAAATCTTGGGGGAGTTGTGAGGTGTCATTCAGATTTCTTCTGCTTGTTATACTAATATGATACATGTGGTGATTTGCATTTGTAAATACAGGTAGCAGATTAACCTCATGGTAGTTACTGCACAGTAGCCCATGTGTAGACATGGACCAAGAGCAAATTTGCTCCCGGTCAGCCCAGGCATCAGGGGCAGGAGAACAATCCCCTCTCCTGGGAGCTGCTGCCACCGGGGCAGGCTCCAATTGAGGAACCCAGCTGAGACAATGTGCTCTACCCACAACCACTGCCTACACCCACACTGAGATAAAAACCAGTCTTTGTTTACATTCCACTTCTCTCTCCATGATTGGAGCCAGGGCTGGGACATTGTGCCCTGCCCCTGGGAGGTTCCTGCTGCCAGGGCAGGCTCTGATCACGGAGCCTGACCAGGACAGTATCCTCCTGCGCTGGCAGGCAGCTTCTAGCCCTAACCTACTTCAAATTAATAGCATGTGTAGATGTACCCAGAGATTTCCCTGCTTCAGCTGTAAGGAGAACAGTGGAGCTGAGGCTTGCAGGGACAAGTAGTGATCCCAGAGCAAATCAAGGTCTGTTTTTTGGGACAAGCACTGGCACACTGGGAAGCAACTCAGGGTATCCTGTGGATGGGTTTTTGACAATACATGCATTGCCACCAGCAGGACTCAAACCCACAGCCACTGCCTACACCCACACTAAGATAAATAGCAACCTTTGTTTGAATTCCATTTCTCTCTTTTCCTATCCATCCATCCATCCCTATGGTTTTAGAGACTTGAAAAGAAAATAATCAAAATAAAATGCTCTACTGAAGTATATTAGATCCTCAGCACTTTGCAACTGTAGACACCCAAGTCCCACCTGCTTTCTACAGCTATCAGCCGTATTTCTGAGTAGTTTGTCTTTTTGTGCAATTGGGGTCAGTTAATCAACCCCCTTAGTCATTCTCATGAAAGAGGCTGTGGTTCAGAGCTCTGAAACAATCCAACTTCACCAGCTGTAATCTTTTATAGTTAAGAACTCATTTTACAATAGTTTTACAATATACCAGGGAAGCCAGGACAATATTTTCCCAGAGCTGACTTTAGGACTGAATTCCAGCAACGCTTACTGACAAGAGCATTACAATGTTATTTTTTTTAAGTTTAACTACACTGCTATGCAAGTTGTAAAATATATTTTATGTTACTGGAGTCTTTTACATATCAATATGGACTGCAATGGTGACACAAATGATGGCAAACTACTGGTAAAAATAGACTCCTTCCTATTCCAGAGACACATTGGATAGTTCCCTCACCTTATTAATAAATTTAGTAATAGCATTTGCAGCAATGGAAGTAAAATCAATGGGTAGCAAAATCTCATGCCCAAGGGGACTGTCTAATTGCCAGCAGGAGCTAAAAACTTGGGAAAGAATTATTTGTATATCCTCTACTTTAAAAAATAAATAAATCACTGCATAATATGTTATGCAATAATATAAGCTACAGAATAGAAGCTTGCAATAAGCATAAGCCATTGCTGGAGGCAAGACACTTGATTTACTAAAATAATGTGTCAGTTCCTAAACGGTACCTCTAGTGCTCCAGAGGTATGTTAAATGCTTGAATGAGAATATTGCCTTAACCATCCACATACTTTAATTTTCCATACTTCTGTCTTTGTCACTATATATAAAATTGCAGAAAGCCCATACTTTAAAATTATTTCAAATGTTGTGCCATTTAATTTTTAATTTCTATGTCATCCAGGGATAATTTCATTTATTGCCATTTTTGATGGCCATATAATTCATGTTCTATACTGATTGTACATGCATGTGCAACCATAATGTACACACGCAATTACAGCCACTGACTCAAATAATCTATCATTGCATTACACACACATGCACATGTTCAAATACTGTGATAAATTGATTTATGTGCCCGTTAGAAAATGGGCCCTACATTAAAAATATTCTGAGACAATGCAAAAAATGATAATTAAATGGTATATTTTTTGGAAACATTCCAAACAAAGTGCTTTCTGCAACTTTCCTGTGATTACTCTCACTCCAAAAAGTTAAACAGACAGCAGCCATTTAAACAAAGTAGCTTATGACTGATCCTACCATTTTGGCATGGCATAATATAGGTTTTTAAATATTGGTTTGTATGTTTTTTCTTTTTTCTAGGACAGGTGTGAGCACCCTGTGATTTGTGGGTTGGATCCAGCTTTCAGAGGTATTTGATTCAGCTCATGACCATGGGATTTTGGCAGCATTTGGTGGAAGAAGGCTTTGGCAGCAGTCACTTTCTCCTGCTACCACAGGGAAAAGGATCAGCTGTGCTACCAAAGGCAATAGTGGCAGGAGTGGGCACTCTCCATGCAGGAAAAAGTAGCATGATGGGTATGTTCCCTGTGCTACTGCAAGGAAAACTGGCAGCAGTTGCTGGGTTTTAAGACCATCACACCTTTGACCCAAACTGAGTCAATCCAAAACTCGCAATCTAAAAGGTTGTGGACTACAGCTTTATGGCATTTAGGGAACCTTATTAAGTTGTGTAATAGATTGATATATCCATGTTTGAATATTGTTACTCACATGCAAATTGAAGAAGGGCCTCTTTACTCAATATGGTGCCAAACATGTTGGTAGTTAGACACTGATACTGCCCAGAATCCTTAGCTTCACTGGGATTGCTGATGATCAAACTTCCTTCTATCAAACTGTAGCGGTAATCACTTTCAATGTCAATTTCAGTTCCATTCCGTAACCATCTGGGGAGAAATAGGGAGTAACTAGTTTAGTATTTGACTGGAAGAGAAAGATGACATTTTTGATACAATGTAAATGATCAAAAGGGGTCCAGCTAATTATAAGCATTGCTGATAGCACTGTCTATTTTTAAGGCTATATGGCACTTGCTGTTTAAATCTCTGTTTTCAGTTGCCTCTAACTTTGGAAAATTTTAATTGTTCAGGCTTGTATTTTCCACAAGCTGAATAATTCTGGACAATGTTAACTGACCTGGCTCAGCTGTATTCAAACACACTGATAACCTTTTCTTGAAAAGCTGTTGTTGCCTCATGCTTTGAAGCAGGAACGTCACATTTGTCCAGAGGTGGCTTTTCTGTTAGAAATGTCCCTTTTATTGTTCCCATGAGCAGACACCTACATTTGGCCAAATTCTAAAGCCTTTGAAAACTTCACACATTCTTAAGAACCATAAGAATTTCCATTTACTGGGTCATCCCTAGGTCCATCTTGCCCAGCATCCTGTGTCACAAGGGGCAAAGAATAGATGATGACAGGGAGAGTGAACTAGTTATGACCAGGGCTTTTTTTCACAGTTCCTCTCCCACTGGCAGACTCCAGCATTTAAGGTCTAGAAGTTCTGGAGCCTGTCCCTCAGTTCCCATGCTCAATAGCTAAGGATGCACCTTTTCTCCAAGAATGTGTCCAATCCTTTTAAAAATCTGGTTCAACTGCCAGTTTCCACTACGTGTTTTGGCAATGAGTTCCACACTTTAATTACATGGTGTGTGAAAAAGAACTTCCTTTGGTTAGTTTTAAACTTACTACCTACTAGTTTCATTTTATGATCCATAGCTCTTGTATCATGAAAGACAGTAAATAAATAAGTCCCTTTTTACTTCCTCTTTACCATTTAATATTTTATAAATTCAAATCATGGCCCCCCTCAAGCATCTCTGTGCTAAACTGAACAAGCCTAGCACCCTCCACCTGCGGAGCATGTGTGAAGACACCCACTATGTCAAGTGGATCACCCTGATCCATCCTACTGACACCCTGAAAGAACTCTAATGGGTTGGTGAGGCATGATTTACCTTTGACCAAATCATGTTGATTCCTCCCCAGCAACTCATGTTGTGCACATACTGAACAATTTTCTTTTTATTATTGTTTCTATTTTTTTCCTGGAACAGAAGGCCTTCTGGACTCTGACTCACTGGCCTTAGCTCCCAGGGTCCCCTCTAGAGCCTTTTTTTTAAATATGGGAGTTACATTGGCAAGCCTCTTGTTCCCTGGTACTGTGGCTATTTTTACTGATAAATTGTTAGGAGTTTGGCCAATTTCCAATTTTTATCAGAGATTTGGGGCCACATCTATGAGGGTAGAGAGGAGATACAGATAAGAGGCTGGCAGGGGAAGTAACAGACTGGTATTCTCCAGACAAGGCATCTGACATCTTGAATGGAGATCAGTAGCAGAGCAAGACTATTACTGACTGGGAGACAGGAATGAGTAATCTGAGATGAGAATGAGTAATCTGAGAGAAACTGTGATTGGAAGCCAAAGAAAATGGGAATATCTGGCAACAAGACCTGGAGCTAGTAAAGAAAATGGAAGGGACCCAGATCCTGTAGGTAGATTATTACTGAGATGAGATGAGAGACCATTGGGAGAGACTAGGAATAGCAAGTGTAGTGAACTGGACTAAGAAGTTTAAGTGGAAACTGGGATAAAAGGCAATGGGTGGGATTAGGGCAAGGATAAATACAAACTTATCTGTAAAACCTTAATTCAGACCCTTTATGTGCAGTATGGTGCAGCATTCACTTATATAGGATTCTGTCTCAGTGTCTGTAAAAAGTCCCTTTTTCATTTATTACAAAAGATGAGAGCTGTTGAACAGAGCTAATGAAAACTTGGAATTTCCATGTTGGAGGAACTGGACACATTTTAAGATTTGTTTGGTCTTAAATCAAGATAAACATTTACAATTTAGAAAATTAGAAATGTTTCATGGCACAGAACTATTGAAATAAGAGAAATGACTAAGCATTTAGCTTAGATTGAAAGGTTGCCTTTATGTGCTTTGGGGTAGGTAACGTTTGGTAATGGGAAAACTCTACTTGTTCAGCACCAGGCAGATGGGAGCAGTTTTAATCAGAGTCCAAACTAAGCACTCACTCACCATCCAATTCCTACGCATTTGCCTACCATGCAACATCTAAATCTGCCTGCTTCATTTGGAAGTCATAGAATCATAGCAAAGTAGGGCTGGAAGGGCTAGAATACCATATTGTCCTGCCCCCTGCTCAAGGCAGGATATCCCCTGACTAAACCATCCCAGTCATGTGACTGTCAAACATGCTCTTAAAAATCTCCAGAGATGGAGATTCCACAGCTTCTCTAGGTTGTCTGTTCCAGTGCTTGACCACCCTCATAATCAGACACTTTTTCCTAATTTCTCACCTAAACTTCCTCTGCTGAAGACTGAGGCTTTTGTTCCTAAAGACATAGAGAAAAGTCTATCTCCACCCCCTTTATATTAAATTTTTAGGTATTTGAAGACTGTTATCAAATCCCACTTCGGTTGTCCCATCTCTAGAATAAAGAGACAAGGTGTGGGGCCCAAAACTGGACACAGGACATCAGGTGAGGCCTCAGCATTGCTGAATAGAGCAGAAAAATGACTGCACTTGATTTCCAAAAGACACTCCTGTTAGTACAACTGACTATGCTGTTGGATTTTTTTTGGCAACAAGAGTATACTGTTGGCTCATACTCACTTTATAATCTATTGTAACCCCCAGTTCCTTCTTTCCAATACACTCATTCCTTAGCCTGTATTATTATTCCACCCAAAGTGCAGGATTTTGAATTTGTCCACTCAATGTACTGCTTGCATCCTGGCTGTGAGGTGCTTGATAGTAATCACTGTTCCTTCCCCCACCCCTCCAGTCAAGTTCGTTCTATTGTTCCCCTAGCTCCTATTTGACAGTCCATTTCTTTTAGTACAATCTGCTGTTATCCTACAGACCAGTGGCCGAAATAAAAGGAGAGAGAGAGGAAGTCAAATTGTGTATACAAAATGCAGGTGGAATTTTTAGGCTAAGGGCTACTTAGAAAGAAATCACAGCCAGGAATGTCCAAGTCATGTATAAAGAACAGATGAAGGGAAGGCACAGATGGGGGGTGAAAGCAGATTCTCAATAGGAAGTCTGTGCAAAGTAGTTAGGGGATGGACTTGAAGACCTGAATGGGGGCTTCCTCTCTGCAGCATAACCTCCAGATTCCTTATTTCTGTGTTAGAATCCCAATACTTTCCTGCTGGTCTCATCCTGTTTTTAATGATTTGATGGCAACAAGCCAGCTGTTTGACAATGTATAGAATCCATTATACCACAGAGGGTAGTTGCAGAGGCCAAAAAAATATTGCTTCCACTTTCCAGGAACCTAACTCAGGCAACTTTTACTTGTTACCCAAGATTTAAAACCTGAAAACCCAGGATGCCCCATTGTCCCTGAAAGTGGCACTATCGCAGAAGTAATTTCTGGCTATGTTAACTCTATCTTATTCCCATGAGCCACTGGTGCTGCCAACTATTTGAAAGACACCACAGATTTCTTAAAGAAACTGGGCTCCATTCACAAGCTTACAAAAAAAAGCCATATTATCTACAATGGATGTCACATCTCTGTACACCAACATCTTCCATAAGGACAGATTACAAGCCATAAAGAACATTATCACTGACAAGAAAACTGCTTCTATTGCCATTAAGCTCTCACACTTTGTCCTCACACACAACTATTTCAGGTTTGGGGACTCCCTATACCTACAAATGAATAGCACTGCCATAGGTAGATGTATGCCCTCCCCCATAATATGCCAAAATATTTATTATAGCGCTTGTAGTTAATTTCTGTGGCAGCTGCCCTCTCATCTTTCTGGTATACCTCTGGTATATCAATAACTTCTTCATAATATGGACACATGGAAAGGAAGCTAGAGAAACTTCACCAGGACTTTAACAACATTCACCCCTCCATCAAACTAACTCTGGAATATTCAACCCAGAAGATTCATTTCCTAGACATCACACTGAGGGTTTGCAATGGCCACATGCGATCCTCACTGAGGCATCAGGCCTTCTAAGGGACCCAAATACCAGCTCTGCGCTGACATCAATACAGACCACATAATTCTGGGACCAAATAACAAGGAGTACAACATCCAAAAGTTCATTCACCCACAACTCTACCAAAGTCATTGATGCTGTCACCTGCTTACAATCTGTTGCCTACATCAGACAGAGAGGGTGATCTCTACATGCAAGGAAGAATAAACATGCATCTGACATTAGCTGCAGAAAGACACACAAGCTTGTGGCAGAACGCTAACTTCCATGGACACAGCATCGCTGATGATGGAGTTCACAAAAGCTTGATCTCTCATATATATTATTTAGTTAGTTGATAATGGTGCATATCTGCCCTGTCTTCTGACTCACCTTGGCAGCCATTAATTCATATTGAGCTGTCCAAATCAGCCATGTCAGACTAGAATAGATGTTTCCTTTGTGCCACCATAACAATTTTTATGACAGCACAAAGCAAAAGCAAAAAGCCATCCATGCCCTTTTTTGCAGCATAAATGCCTTTCTTTGTGACTGCAGCAAAAGGTGGTAATAAGTTGTGTTGCTTGCATGCCCTGGGATGTGTCTGTAAGTGGGGAACCCCACCCAGGCTTTCCCGCTTACAGAGACATGACCTAGAGATTCTTGGAAATGGATGTCTGTAAGCAGAAAACACAACATCCATTATTCTGCAGGATCAACAGGCAGGACAATAGGCGATATGTGTTTTACCTAGCAAACCAGATAACCTAAGCCAAACATCTTAGCCCACCTGATCCACTTCATTTGATGATGTCTATTCATATCCTATGTGGCATAACAAGCAGTGACAGTGCCTCTACTAGTCCTGAGGTGTTGGCATGGGTGAAGAAGGTCTACATGCAAGTGTTGGTGCAAAGGACTACAGAGAAAAAGATTATGCAAGCTACTATCAAAGCTAGGGCACTGGAAAGGGACAGAAAAAAAATGGAGTCAACTCCTGGCTCAGCCACAGATGTCCTGTTTAACCATGGTCAAGCTACTTAATACCTTCTTTCCAATCTTTAGAATGGAAAAGTAACACCTGGTCTCACAGGGGTGTTGTCAGAATAAAATCCATAAGTAACTTTGGAGCTGTGTGGGTATCAGAAAGTTTTGGGGGCTGGGAGTCTCTTTTATAGTGAGTGTCTCAATGGATGGATACACTATGCATGGTATGGGGCTAGAATTCCTGCCCCATACCATACTGGTCCTTTCCTACTTTTCCCATATATGCTATTGCCTGCTAGGAATCCTGGTTGGTCCCCAAACCCAGTGGACAGGGAAGCTCCTTGAAACTGTTAACACCTCCTATTATTATGTTCCCCATATGTTTTTGCTCAGAAGGGGAGTGTATCGATCAGACATTCTGAAAGCCTCAAAAAATTCTCAAGCTACATATTGTACCTGTATGTAGGAGCAGGATTTCCTCGTGCTTGACAATTCAGAGACACTTTCTTCTCCTCAGAATCAGTAGGAAAAATCAAATCATCAGGCTCTTGTATAAACACTGGCCCATAATCAGCACTTTCTGTGGAAACAATAAGACCCATAGTTTCAGCATGCTTAGCAAATAGTATTTTATATGTTATATATGACATATCATTGTCCAGATTTTTTCCAGAGATTCTAAATAGCATTCCCACAGATGCTGTTGATTTAAAAAATAAAAAGGGGATAAGGTAGGTTATCAGAGAAAGTTACTTGGATATTGTTTCCTTACAGACTTATTAATTTAGCTTATACAGGGTGTGTCTACACATTCATTAAGGGGCCATAGTTACTGTGCATTAAGTTTAGTACTTGTATAATCAAGTACTAAATCAATGCACAGTAACTAGTGCTACTGTACATTAGTGCCGGTGCATGCCTTCTTAGTAATGCTACTGTACAGTAGCCTAATACTAATGTGCGGTAGCGTATTAGCACTGTTTTTGATGTTATGTACTACTGCACAGTACTATTAGGCTACTGCGCGTTTAGCACCTCATGTAGATGCACTCACAACTAACAATGTTAATGGTGGGAAAAATAACATTGCTTAGTTCCTTTGAGCAGCATTATTTATTGGGAATCACAGATCATGAGAGGAGAAATCACTGGCATCAATTCTGGATATCTTTCTCATGTAATGTTTTATTTTTGCTCTATATACTAGTAGCAGGAAAAAAGCTTTCCAGAAATTCCTTTTTTGGCCCAAACACCATCATGCATCTTCCAGGAAACAATTCTACCTCACATATTGACCCTACTTGGTGAGACCAAGACAGAGAATAAATTCTCCTTATGCTTGTAACAGCTCCACTCAAACAAGCTGAAGTGCAAAACTAACACCAGCATATCATTCTTCTCAGAACTGAAGAATAATCTGTCAATAAGAAAAAGAACTTGCCAGACTATTTATTACAGCATCAACTGGTGCCTCCTGTCAAAACAGTATACATCTATATAACTGAAATCTGAAATCCTGATTTTTCCTATGCACTGTATCTGAATTGGGCATATTTCTGTATTTATATATGTACACTCTGCACTGAGGAAAACTGGTAGATATTGAATCTATGGACCAATTTCAAAGGTGGTTATAGACTGGTTTGGAATTTTCAAACAAAAAAAGGAGTTGTAAGTGTAATGAATCTGATCATATAAGTCCAAATAAGTAAAATATTTGCATAGAGGTAGAAGAAACTAAAGGAAGTGGAGTTTGCATCAAAGTACTCCCTTTAGAGTCTCAGAGTTATCTCCTTAATTTGGCTGTCATTTAATTTACAGAATTGGTCTAAGCATTCTGAGGTAAACAGGCTCATTTTCCCATTATACATAATTAAGCATATGGGAGCAGGGTTTTATCTGTCATAATTTTACAGTTTCATGTGTTCACCTAATGAAACTACTCCAAGGAGTATTGTGGACAGAATGTTACATTAAGCTGTTTATATCAACCTAGTATATTTGTAGAAACACATGTAGGCAGTCAGCTCCCTATCACCCACCTACCAGGGCAGGCTGCCAAACCAGAAGTAAACCACCTCATGATTAGCTTTGAGGAAGAACTCACTGAGGGATCTGTCATTGATGCTGACATAAAAAAATTGCTTTACTGAATTATTTTTCTGAACTCACCCATTTCCACCTACAAAAGGTCCCTGCAGGAGAACTATGTGACTTGAACTACATAAGACACGCAGAACTTCAGTCTGCACAATCTGGGCTTTTGCAGAATTCCAGGGAGCCGTGTTTTAAGTGACTGAACTCCTAATGGTAGCTGGTCATAGAGCAGAGGAACGCTTCTCCAAACAGCAGAGATTGTTTTTATCTTTTTCGATAACAGCCATTTCCAGATCTGACATAGTGGATTTGAAACATGCACACTTGCTCTTGCTATCATACAGTCCTTGGTATTGTAAATAAATAAAACCCATAAAGACCTTTAAAAATCTGGGGGGGGGAGAGGAACCTAGTGTAAAAAAATAGAGGTCAGATGGATCAGAGGAAAGAAAGAAAAACATTACTTCCTTACCACATCAAAGGATAAAATGTTGGCTTATTCCCCAAAATACTCTTGATGAATGACAACAATAATTTTAAAACCAAGTGGTTATTTTAAGAAGAGTGATCCATGCATACAACAAGAGTAGCAATCCAATATATCATAATTCCATAATGTTATTGTTTTCATTAGCTACCACAAATATCAGCTTAAGGAAAAATAGGGTTAATTTTATGTCTGACAGCTGGTGTTGAAGGATGAATTTTAATGGGAAAAGGAATCTAATTCTATGCCTAATTCTAAGCTTTTTAAAATACCCTATAATATCAATTGTGGCTCTTCAATTAATTGTAAATCTGTTAGTCATTTGTGAAAGAAGCAATGAAGAGATCCTGGATATACAGCCTAGGAGTTGTTACTACCTTTCCCTGCTTATCTTGCTATATGCATCCAGAAAGTCAGGAAAAATTTGAAGGGTGAGGGTGAAAGTATGGGAAATGGGGGTCTGCAGCTGTAATGTTTGAGGCCCCCTGGGATTATTTATTGGCTGACATTCCAAGACATTAATTTTTATCTTTTGTATTTGAAATCCCTACATAGTGGGTACATCTAAATGAGACATTAACTGTGGAGTTGCCTAATTAGCTCTGCAGTAAACGTATCAGGCTGCTTGCAGACGTTAAAAAAAACAAAACATTTTACCAGAAGAAGCAGCACATTACTTCAGCCTGGCTCTGAAGTGCCTGTATAGATCGGGCACTTCAGCAGGGCTTTTTGGCATTTTTAGGTAATAGCTGATTCAATCAAATATTAGATAAAAGCAGTAAAAAAGCCCCACTGAGGTGCCTGATCTAAACAGATGTCGAGTGAGCTGGGTACAACTAAAACATTGCCTCTCCTGGGCATGTGTGGGGCTCAGTGAGAGAATGCATCAAGTTTAAAGTGCCATGTTTTTGAGGAGGGGTTTAACATCTGCAACCAGCCTCAGTATCTACACATGCAGTGCTAGTAGGATGGAGTAAACTAATTACTCCACAGTAGGACAGTATTTGTAAAATGTACACATGCATTAGATCCTGGAGCAGTTTACTCACAAGTAAACAGCTTGCGAGTAAATGCTCCTGTCTAGGCATCTACATGTGCAGGGATATGGGAGCAGATTCACTGCTCCTAGCAGCAAACTGCTCCCAGTTCCTGGGGACCTGCAATGGGGGGGCGAGGACGGGCGCAGTGTTTCTGGGCTGTCTCTGGACCTGGGCATTGCAACCTGCCTCGTACCCCAGCAGCAGTAAGCTCCTGGCCCTGGTTTTCCAATCCTGGGCACGGAGCTTGGAAAGAGCTACAGGGGAGAAGCAGGTCCCAGCCCTCTGCCCTGATTTCCTGGTGGGGCAATTAGCAGATAGCTTGCTGCTAGCTGCCTCACCAGTGGATCAGGACAGTGGCCTAGGACCTACACCACACCTGCAGATCTTTCCAAGCCTCATGCCTGAATCACCCAATCAGGGCACGGGGCTGGGACCTTCCTGTGGCCAGAAATGTTCCTAGCCCCCACTCCACATTCACAGGGTGGGGGCTGGAGCATGGGTGACTGGTGCTACTTTAGTCAGGGGGGGCACATGCCCCCACCAGCTACCAGTCAGCAACCAATCTCACTGACCAGGGGAGTCCCCTGCAGCCAATCTCACTGACCAGACCAATCTCATTCCATGATTATGAAGGAACAGGCTCCCCAGCCCCCACCAGCAGGAAGCTCCAAGCAGCAGTTCCATGGTCCTAGGGGCAGTACTAGATGATAAGGATCTCCCAGCACCATCCCAGCAACCACAGAGCTGGTTCTGGGAGATAAGGATCTCCTAGTCCCCACCCTCCCTGAGCAAAATGGTGAAGTAAGGGCTGAGAGATAAGGTTCTCCCAGCCCCTATCCTCCCTATTACAGTCTCAGAATGGTGGGCTTGGAGCTCCCAGATGCCAGGGCAGGTAGACATAGTCCCTGCCCCAGCTCCGGTGGCAGAGCCCGCTCTGGCAGCAGGCGGCTCCTGGGGACAGGGAGTAATCTCCTGCCCCCTGGTGGCCAGATGACTGGAAGCAGATTTGTTCCTGGTCAGGTATCTATGCAACTACTACTGCATAGTTAGTAATCACAAGTAAATTTGCTACTTGCATTTGCAGATAGCAAATTTACTCATGATTAGTAAGATTTACTGTTCAGTAAGCATATGTACATGTAGACTCATATGCTTACTGCACAGTAAACTATGCTACTGCATAGTAAAGCATCTCATGTAGATATACCCGCTGAGGGGATTTTTTACTCTACAGCACTGCACATATAGATGCTGATAGGGCTGGCTGGGGCATGAGTGTGCTTCAGTGTGGTAGATGCATTCAAATGTAGTGCTCAACAACCTCAAAAATGTGCAAAACAAACAAAACAAAGAAACTACATGTTCAGGAATATCTATTGTTCATATCTGTCTTGGATTGAGTAACTTTTTTCAGGAAGCAGTAAGTTAACACAGTGTATAAATCAACCCCAAATATTTTATTTTAAAAAGTTAGTTTTTTCATATATTCAGAGTACAAGTCAATCTTTGCTTTGATCTTCATCAAAGTGAAAAAAAAGGATAGGGCCCTTGCATGCTGGTGGGCTCTGGGGAAGTTCCTCATAGCCTCTGGGAGATCAGCGAGCAGCCAGCCCACTAGCAACCCACCCTGGGTGCCTGGGGGGGGTGCTGCCACCATGAAGGAAAGGACCAGGCTCCCTTGCAGGGCAGGGGATGCCCAGTCCACCAGCAGCTTTCTCCCTAGCCATTGGGGGGCAGGCAGGCTCCGCCAAAAGTAGGATCAGGCCTCTCATTGATTCTGCCTTCAATAGACTCCTGCAGCCAGCAGGAAGCCTGGTGCTGCCTGGGAAATGGCTGCCTCATCTCATGGGCAGTACGTGGTGTCAGGCAGAGGCCAGGGGGTGGGGGGGTGAGGCTAGCCCTGCCCAACACCCCTAGCCTTCTCCCCAACCTGTGCTGCCCATGGAGTGAGGCAGC